TTTTCATTTGCCAGAGCAGCAGAAGGAGGCAGCTGCCTTTCATCTGTGTCCCCTGACACGCAGGTGATGGAAATCCTGATTTATGGCACAGCACATGGAGCTCACCTGGTGCAGAGACCCTCTGCAAGCTCAGCTGGAACGTCCTGCTGAGCCTCCTGGATTTTATTTTATTTTATTTTATTTTATTTTATTTTATTTTATTTTATTTTATTTTATTTCATTTTATTTTATTTTATTTTATTTTATTTTATTTTATTTTATTTTTTAATTTTTATTTTATTTTATTTTATTTTATTTTTTATTTAGATTTAATCTTAATTTTAATTTTTATTTTAATTTTATTTTTTTATTTCTTAATTTTTATTTTTCTTTTTTTTGTTATTTTACATTTATTATATTTATTTTATTATTTTATTTTATTTTTATTTTATTTTATTTTAATTTTTATTTTATTTTTTATTTTAATTTTTATTTTATTTTTATTTTACTTTACTTTAATTTTTATTTTATTTTTATTTTATTTTACTTTAATTTTTATTTTATTTACTTTTTCTTTTATCTTATTCTTTAATTTTATTTTAATTATTCTATTCTATTCTATTCTATTCTATTCTATTCTATTCTATTCTATTTTTTATTTCAGCCTGCAGCTCTCTGGGTTATTTAAAACGATCTCCACAAAGATTCCCTCTGCAGCTGGGAAGTTCAGGGAGTCAATGGGGATTGCAGGAGTCTCCTCAGTGCCCAGCTGGGAGGCACAAGAACAAACCTGAGATGGGGGAAAGGAGCCCAGGAGTTCCTGTGGGGAGGAGATTTTGGATTCTGGATCCTCTCTGACCCTCCCAGGAGCATCCTCAAGATGTTCAGGAAAGGCCAAACCACAGCAACTTTCTCCTTTTCGCTTTATATTTTTAATTTTTTTTTTGGTGGGGTTTTGATGCAGCTGCCTCCAACTTCCAGGAAATTCAGGCTCCAGATGTGGAGCACGGCCCAGGCCTGCATTCCTGGAATCCCTGAAGTGCCCAGAGCTTCACTTTGCATTTATTCTGCACCCTTGTTTATTCTGCAGCAGCGCCTGAAGGACGGATAACTTCAGCTCAGGAGGAGCTGCCTCACCCCGAGATTTTATTTTTGTGCAATATTCTGCTTATTTCCATTTCCAAGTGCGCTGATTGAAGCCGCAGCTGCTGCCCTTATTTCTACTTTTGCTCTCTCCTTCCCCATCAGAGCTGCGTTAGGAGCTGAGCACTCGGTATTTTTATCTGAAGCACCAAACACAGACTCCGTGGCGTAGGCAAAAATCCATAATTAGTGGGGCTCGAGGCAGAAGTGGCTGCACTGACGTGGGCAGGCTCAGGAGGATGCTCTGCCACGTGAAAACTTTCCTGTGGATCTGTCCAGCTCTGACCCTCTGTGGGGTTTTGGGGTTTTTGTGGGTTTTTTTAATTATTATTATTGGGTTTTTTTAATTATTTTCCTTGGCAGCATCAAACACAGAGAGAAATTACCTAAAAGGCTGTTGAAGAAAATGTATTTTTCATAAATTTGCTCCCTGCCTTTGTGAGCTGGAGCCTGGCAAACGCACGTTGGCGAGGGAATAAGGAATCTTCTGATGTGATGTGCTCGGATATTGATTTTTTCCCCCTTTCCCTCTCTCTTAAAATTCTGTTTACAAATTCCTTTTGCTTTTAATTATTTGTTTCCTCCTGCAGGCAGCGCCAAGGCAGGTGCTGAGCTCTGCTCTTCAGGATAAGGCACCAACCCTGCCGCATCCCCACAGCCTCTTCCAGCAGGGATTGCAGAACGTTTTGGGCTGGCTGAGCCCCCCAAAAGTGGAAAAATGAGTGGGGTTTGGGGCTGGGGAGGCTGGGATGGGGTGAGATCAGGGCAGATGAGGGCACGGATGGGGATGAGCCCTGAGCCTCTGGACCCCAATAGAAATGGAGTTTATTTCCAAAGAGGGGTGAAAATGGTGTTGATTTCTAAAAGGAGGATGGAAATGGAGTTGGTTTCCAAAAGGGGGTGGAAATTGAGTTTATTTCCAAAAGGGGGATGAGCCCTGAGCTATACTTTGGGCCCCAATGGAAATGAAGTTTATTTCCAGAATGGGGTGGAAATGGAGTTGATTTCCAAAAGAAAGGGGATGAGCCCCGAGCTCTGCTCAACACCTGATGGAAATGGAGTTGATTTCCAAAAGGGAAGTGGAAATGGAGTTGGATTCCAAAAAGGAAGTGGAAATGGAGTTGATTTCCAAAACGGGGATGGAAATGGAATTTATTTCCAAAAGTGGAATGTAAATGGAGTTGGTTTTCGAAAGGGGGGTGAGCCCTGAGCTCTGCCCTGGGCCCCCATGGAAATGAAGTTTATTTCCAAAAGGGAAGTGGAAATGGACTTTATTTCCAGAAAGGGATGGAAATGGAGTTGCTTTCCAAAATGGGGTGAACCCTGAGCTCTGGACCCCAATGGAAATAAAGTTGATTTCCAAAAGGGGGTGGAAATGGAGTTGATTTCCAAAATAAAGGGGATGAGCCCTAAGCCCTACTCAACACCTGATGGAAATGAAGTTGATTCCCAAAAGGGGACAGAAATTGAGTTGATTTCCAAAAGAGGGATGGAAATGAAATTTATTTCCAACAGGGAATGGAAATGGAGTTGGTTTCCAAAATAGGGTGGAAATGGAGTCCATTTCCAAAAGGGGGATGGAAATGGAGCTGGTTTCCAAAAGGGAAGTGGAAATTGAGTTTCTTTCCAAAAGGGGGATGAGCCCTGAGCTCTGCTCTGGACCCCAATGGAAACGAAGTTTATTTCCAAAAGGCTGATGGAAATGGAGTTGATTTCCAAAAGAGAGAATGGAAATGGAATTTCCAAAAGTGGAGTGGAAATGGAGTTTATTTCCAAAAGAGGCATGAGCCCTGAGCTTTGCTCTGGGCTGGACCCTGATGGAAATGGAGTTATTTTCCAAGAAGGTGATGGAAATGGAGTTGATTTCCAAACTAAAAGGGGAATGGATGCAAAACTGCAACGCCCTGGCCAGGAATTCCACCATGCTCCTGTTCCCCAGCCAGAATTCCCTGCAGGCACCCCGATGCAAACAGAGCTGGCTGTTCCTACCCTGTGCTGAGGGAATCTCCACTCCTGAGCACCAAATCCCACTTTGTGCCTTCTCCTGCCCCATTTCTGCAGGGTTTGTGGCTCTGACACACCAGATTCCCCGTGGCTTTGCCCCTTTCCTCTCCCCCTCTGGAAAGAAAACACCACAAATTGCCCAAATCCTGCATGCTGGCTGGATCCAAGGGCAGAGCCTGGCAGAGCTGCTGTTCTTCACAACTACAATTCCTAATCCAGCCGTGCCCTCTCCTCCAGGTGCTGCCCCTGCTTCCCAACCTCTCCCTGGTGGGATTTATCCAGAGCAGATCAACCGCGCCTGGATTTATCCAGAGCACAGCAGCCGTGGCGGCTCCACTGGGGCACAGCCAGGAGTTCCTGGCCTGGGACCCTCGAGGTGTGTCCTGATCAGGTGTGTGATAAAAATATCGATGTGCAATTAGCTGGGGAAGGGGAATGCTGCTGCTGCTGCTGCGGGCAAGAAACGGAATTTTAGATCACAGCCCGCTGCAATATTGATAGCAACAGCCCAGAATGGACAGGTGGGCTCGGGGGGGTTTTCATCCTGTTGCTGGGCACGGGGATGGGATTTGAGGGGTTTGGGTGCAAATGTGGGAGGTTAAAGGGTGGAGAAGGGCAGGGAGGGTGCGGGGACACGCTTGGTGTCACAGCTTGGTGTCACAAGATTGGTGGCACAGCTCTGGTGGCACAGCGTGGCCTCGGGGCTGCGTGTGGACCTCAGGGCTGTTTCCATCGGCTCTCCCAGGGTGGGGCTGGCGGGTCCCACACCCCCAGGTGAGGGGACAATGTGGGGCGGACCCTGGGCGTGTCCCCACCACACACCTGGGTGTGTTCCAGCTCACCTGGGCATGTCCCCATCCCGCACATCTGGGTGTGTCCCAGCACATCTGGGTGTGTCCCCATCCCGCACACCTGGGCGTGTCCCCTCGCACCTGGGCGTGTCCCTACCCAGCTCACCTGGGCGTGTCCACATCCTGCACACCTGGGCCTATGCGCATCTTGCACTCCTGTGTGTGTCCCCACCTCACACCTGGGCGTGTCCCCATCCCGCACACCTGTGTGTGTCCCCACCTCACACCTGGGCGTGTCCCCATCCCGCACACGTGGACGTGTCCCTACCCAACACACCTGAGCGTGTACTCACCGCACACTTGGTGGTGCCCCCATCCCGCGCATCTGGGTGTGTCCCAGCACATCTGGGTGTGTCCCCATCCTGCACATCTGGGCATGTCACACCTCACCTGGGCGTGTCCCCGCACACCTGGGCGTGTCCCAGCTCACCTGGGTGCCCCTCCCCCGCCGCACTTTGTGGGGGAAGGGCCGGGGGCGGTGTTTGGGGGGGGGGTGATGTCTCCTGTCCCCATCCCCCCCCATCCCGCACCTGCGCGCGCGCCGCCGGCAGGCCCCGCCCCTCGCGCCCCTAATTGGCTGCGGGGGGAGGGGCGGCTCATTAGCGATGCGGGCGCGCGCCGCGGCCCCGGAGTCGGCGGCGGCCGGAGCGGGGAGCGGAGCCCGCAACGCCGGGAGCCGAACAGCGAGACCGAGCGGGGGAGAGGAGCGGGAAAAACCCCCCGAAACCGCCCGAAACCACGGCTGATCCTCCGGCTGGAACTCGGCTCCGCATCCCCGGCTCCGCATCCCTGGGCTCCGCATCCCGGGGCTCCGCATCCCGGTGCTCCATCCTTCGCTCCGCATCCTGGGGATCCACATCCCGCAGATCCATCCCCGGCTTGGCATCCCGGGGCTCCGCATCCCGCAGCTCCAGCGACTCCGCATCCCGCGGCTTCATATCCCGAGGCTCTGCATCCCAGTGCTCCACATCCCGGGGCTCAGCATCCGGCAGCTCCATCCCCAGCTCCGCATCCCGGGACTCCGCATCCCGCGGCTCCATCCCCGGTTCTGAATTCCGGGGATCCGTATCCCGGTGTTCCATCCTTGGCTCCGCATCCCGCAGCTCCATCCCCGACTCCGCATCCCGTGGCTTCATATCCCGGTGCTCCGCATCTCAGTTCGCCATCCCCGGGCTCCGCATCCCGGGCTCTGTTCCCGGTTCCATCCCCGGCGCTGCGGGCTCAGCATGGGCGGAGGAGCCCCGCGCCTGCACCGGTGGCTGCTGCTGCTGCTGCTGCTGCTGCTGCTGGGGCTGTGCAGCTGGACGGCCGCGCTGCGAGGTAAGCGGGGCTCGCTCTGCCCTCCTCGGAGCGGCTCTGGGGCGCGCGGGTCCCACCGGTTGCTGCGGGGCGGGGATGGCGGAGCGGGAGATGCGCGATGCGGGGGATGGCGGGGACCCGCCGGGAAAAACATCCGCTGTCCCAGCGCCGGGAGCACAACCCGCATCCCAGCTCCGGGAGAAATCCCGCATTACAGTGCCGGGAGAAATTCCACATCCCAGCGCTGGGAAAAACATCCGCTATCCTAGCGCTGGGAGAAACACCCGCATCCTCCCTGTGCGAGGAGCATCCACATCCCATCTCCCGGAGAAACACCCGCACCGCCCTGGGCACCGTGGGCGACGGCGCCAGGGGTCCTGGCCGTGGTGCCGGGGTGGTCTCGGGGTGATCGTGGCCGTGGTCCCGGCTGTTATTCCGGGATGGTCTCTGGGTGATCTTGGTCGTGCTCTCGGTGTGATCCCAGTCGTGATTCCGGGATGGTCCTGGGATGATCCCGGCCGCGGTCTCGGGGTGGTCCCGGCCGTGATTCCGGGATGGTCTCTGGGTGGTCCCGGTCGTGGTCTCGGGGTGGTCGCGGCCGTGGTCCCAGGGTGGTCCTGGCCGTGGTTCCGGGGTGGTCGCGGCCGTTCGGCTCTTGGGGCGCATCCCATCCCCGCAGGCTGCGGCTCCGCGCTCGGAGCGCTCCGCGCTGTGCGGGGCAGCAGCCGCGGGCATCCCGCGGGGCCGGGGCCGCCTCCGGGCCCGGACACCGCTCGGGCTGTCCCGGGACAGACTCAGGGGGGCTCGGTCTCTCCCCCGGGTGCCTCCGGCCGATGCGCACAGGCGGGTGGATCTGTTTCCAATCTGTTTCCCGTGTACCGGAGATGCTCCGAGTCCTTTTTTTGGGTGATTTTATTTAACTTTCCGCTGGTAAATCACCAGAGGGCAGTCACCTCCTCATGGCACCCAGCAGAGGATGCCAGCATCCCTCTCCGCCCGGGTCCCGCACCCTCTGCGGGGCTGCCGGGGCTGCTCCGGGCGCTGGAGGTGCGGGGATGTGCGGGCGAGGCTCTGTCCTGCCTTTGGAGGAGGGATCCTGCTGCGGTGAGCATCTCTGTGATGTTCAGCACCAGCGCTGCTGCCTGCACAGCGCAGCGATCCGACTTTGCAGCTCCTCGCAGCCGAGCTCTCCCTCGGCACATCCGTGGGGTCTGCGCTTCCATTTCCCTTCGGATTTCCTTTTTCCTTCCATTTCCCTTCGGATTTCCTTTTTCCTTCCATTTCCCTTCGGATTTCCTTTTTCCTTCCCTTTCCTTCCGATTTCCTTTTTTCTTTTCTTTCCTTTGGATTTCCTTTTCTCTTCCATTTCCTTTGGAATTTATGGGCTCTGCTCTCTGTAGAGGAGACCATCCTCAGGTGTAGCCATGAGCTTGTGCCTCCCTGGCCCCCTCACCCAGACCTCTCCCTGAATTACTCCAGCAAAGGCAAAGCCAGGAGGATTTTAACAAACAAAATGTGTTTTTTGAGGGTGTTTTGGGGGAGGAATAAAACAGTCCCTGTAGGGGAGACCATCCTCATCCTCAGGTGTATCCTCATATCCTCAGCTATGGGCTTGTGCCTCCCTGACCCCCTCATCTGCCCAGACCTCTCCCTGAATTGGCTCCAGCAGAGGCAAAGCCAGCAGGATTTTAACAGCCAAAATGTGGTTTTGGGGATGTTTTGGGGGAGGACAAGAACCCCAAACCAACCACTAGAACCCCACCAACTTAGAGGGCAGTGAAATAAATGACGAGAGTAGAATGGAAAATAATAATTCCTGGGTTTTGTTATATTCCCTGGCCTCCTCACCTGCCTGGACCTCTCCCTGAATTGGCTCCAGCAAAGGCAAAGCCAGGAGGATTTTAATAGCCAAAATGTGCCTTTTGGGGGTGTTTTGGGGAAGGAAAAAACAGCTTCTGTAGGGGAGACCATCCTCAGGTGTAGCCATGGGCTTGTGCCTCCCTGGCCCCCTCACCTGCCCAGACCTCTCCCTGAACTGGCTCCAGCAGAGGCAAAGCCGGGAGGATTTTAACAGCCGAAATGTGCTTTTTGGGGGATGGTTTGGGTGAGGAAAAGAACCTCAACCAACCCACAAAACCCCACCAGTTGTTTAGAGGGCTGTTGGGGGTGTTTTGGGGGAGGAAAAGACTCCTAACCAACCCCCAGAACCCCACCAACTTAAAGGGCAGCGAAATAAATAACCAGAGTAGAATGGAAAATAATAATTCCTGAGTTTTATTATAATTTGATCAATCAAAGTATAATCTATTGTGTGCCTAAATCAGTGCTGGGGGTGCCCTCTGTGCCTCCCAACCTCTGGCAGCTCCAGCTCAGGAGCTGGAATTTCCCACCACGGTGCTGGAGGATGCTCCTGGTGCTGCCAAGCAACAAATTCCAGCTCTTTAATTAAAAACTCAGGTTGGATATTTGGAACTCTGGACTGGGGCGCGGTTTTGGGGCAGAACAGTGATTTTTGGGCACTTTGGTGGCTGGAGCAGTGAAAGCTCAGCTCCAAGCCCGGAGCTGGGAGGTTTTGGTTTATGAAGTTGTCTCAAAGCTGCCTCAGAGACAGATTGTGCTCAGATCTCTTGTTCTGAGCGGGGATTGAAGACAAATGGAGCGGTTGTGGAAACCCCTGGCATGGTGTTTGAAATCTGTTGGAGTGAATATCCATGGATACCTCTGGGCTTGTGTTTTTACAGCAAAAAAATTGCCCTGACAGGCTGGAAACTGGAGGAGAGAGAGTCACTAATATTTATTATCTCACTGATGCCTCCAAACTCATTTTTGAATGGAGATGTCTGAATTCTGTGAATTCCCTGCTGCACCTCCGAGCTGTGCCTCAGATCACAGAGATCCGGGTGGGTTTGGGGCTAAACGAGCATTGTTTGGGGGTTTTCCTGCTCGGTTTGGTGCTAAACGAGCATCGTTTAGGGATTTTCGTGCTGATAAAGGGAAGATGAGGCGGCTCTGTGGGCAGGGAGCTGCTGGAGAAGAGATCTCTGAGTGTTCCTGTGGCTTTGGGGAGTTTTTAATTTGCTTTTTTTTGGCTCTGATCTCTCTGCTTACAGTGGAGCTGTCCAGCAGGACAAAGAAATAAAAAAATCTAAAAATTCTCCAGAGGAACAAGGCTGGGTTTGGGTAAAAGCAGCAGCAATTTGTGGTGGTGTGGGATGAGTTTGGTGATGAGGGCAGGGCTGGGGTGCCCAGATTGGCCCTTTTGTCCTGAATTTAATGATGGGAATTGTTTGAGCCCCCAGTTGTTGATCCTAAAGGGGCTGAGATTTGGGGCAGGGCCACTCTGGGGGTGGCTGTTCCTTGGCTGTGCCCATTTCTGATGGTTTGGGGCAGTTGGGGGCAATTTGGGGCAGTTTTGGGGCAGTTTAGGGACATTCAGCAGCTCCTGGTGGGACATTTCTGCTGTGCCAGCCCCAGCTGAGGGCACAGGCCCTGTATCAATAATAACACAGCATAATATCAATAACACAGGCTGATATCAACAATAACACAGGCTGATATCAACAATAACACAGGTTAATATCAGTAATAACACAGGCTGATATCAGTAATAACACAGACTAATATCAGTAATAACACAGGCTGATATCAATAGTCACACAGGTTAATATCAATAATAACACAGACTAAGATCAGTAATAATACAGGCTAATATCAATAATAATACAGGCTAATATCAGTAATTATACAGGCTAATATCAATAATAACACAGGATAATATTACGGGATAATATCAATAATAACACAGACTGATATCAGTAATAACACAGACTAATATCAGTAATAACACAGGCTGATATCAATAATAACAGAGGCTCATATCAGTAATAACACAAGATAATATCAATAATATCACAGGCTGATATCAATAAAATATCAATAATAACAAAGGCAGATACCAATAAAATATCAATAACAACACAGGCTGATATCAATAAAATATCGATAATAACACAGGTCCTGTATCAATAATAATGCAGGCTGACATCAATAATTACACAGGCTAATATCAATAATAACACAGACTAATATCAATAATACCACAGGATAATATCAATAATACCACAGGATAATCAATACCATCCCTGGATTGATTGATCTGCTCTCCAGGTGTTTCCAATAGCCCGGTATTGATAGCTTGGCACGGGATAAACACAAACCCAGGCAGGACCTGGAGCTGCTGGAGCTGTCCTGGCTCTGCTCTGTGCAGGAATTTCTGTAATTTCTGTATTTTTGGTATTTTCTGTATTTTGGTCTCGTTAGGATGAAATGTTCATTAAAATAACAACCACAAGCTCTGCTCCCAGCTGTCCTCCCACTCCCCTGCAGTGCCTCGTGTGGGCTTCCCCATCAATATTTATATTATTGAATTTCATTTTTTTATTTATTTCATTTCAACCTCCCAGGGAATGAGCTCCCTTCCCATTCCCCATCTCCCAGGGTCTGGAGCTTTTTGGGGCAGTCAGGCTTGGAATAAAGATTATTTCCTCCAGATTTGGGGGAATTTGGGGGCTCTGTATTTATATTATTAAATTTAACTTTTATTATTTCAACCTTTATATTCTATTTATATTTATATTTTTGAATTTCTTTTTCTTTAATTTTATTTCAACCTCTCAGAGAATCAGCTCCCTTCCCATTCCCCATGTCCCAGCGTGTGCTGCAGGTCTGGAGCTTTTTGGGGACTCAGGCTTTGGGACAAGGATTATTTCCTCCAAACTACATGAAATTGGGGTCTCTGTATTTATGATTCTGAACTTCTTTTTTTTTTTTAAATTTTATTTCTTCCTTTATATTATATTCATTTTCTTTATATTTATATTATTGAATTTCATTTTTTAAAAATTTGATTTCAACCTCTCCAAAAATGAGCTTCCTTCCCATTCCCCATCTCCCAGGCTGTGCTGCAGGTCTGGAGCTTTTGGGGCACTCAGGTTTTGGAATAAAGACTATTTCCTCCAAAT